TTTTCCAAGCACTGATGGAAATTGTAAATTCTTGCAATTAAAGATTATGATACGTGCTATTTTTGTTACATTAGCCTTTATAATTTATGTTTCTTGTAATAATGCATCTCAAGGTCAGGATTTTCACTGTCAACAAGTATGGCGTTATTTTTGTGCCACTATTCTGAGCGCACATAGAACAATTTTGAGCGCACGTAAAAAAGAATTGGTGGTGCAAGTGTTGCATTTTGAGGAGAAATTTATTTTGAGCAAAGAAAACCTAAATTTGATTGAATCTTGAACATAAGAGTGTCCATAAGTGCACGTGGCACCAGGACGCTCTAGGCTGCAGGTCGATGATCGATTTTGTAATCGTATCACCAGACCTGCGACCATATCTTCTGGACACTCGGGTAAAGAGAGGGGCTGAGCTGTCAACTGATCACCACCTGGTGGCGAGTTGGATCAGGTGGCGGGTGAGGACGCTGGACAGACCCGGTGCACCTAAATGCGTAGTGAGGGTGTGCTGGGAACGCCTAGCAGAGGCCCCAGTCCGCAAGATCTTTAACGCACACCTCCGGCAGAGCTTCAAAAGCATTCCGAGGGAGACTGGGGACATTGAGTCCGAATGGACCATGTTCAGCATCTCCATTGCTGAAGCTGCTGCATTTAGCTGCGGCTTCAAGGTGGTTGGTGCCTGTCGTGGTGGTAATCTCCAACACCAGAGGTGAAGGGAGCCACCAGGCTGCCTCCGGAGTCTTATCGGGCTTGGTCAGCCTGTGGGACTTCGGAGACAGCTGACAGGTACCGACAGGCTAAACAGAATGCAGCTCGGCCAGTGGCTGAAGCAAAAACTCGGGTGTGGGAGGAGTTCGGAGAGGCCAACCGTCAGGCGTCTCAGGAGGGGAAAGCGGTGCTGTACCTGCACTGTGTATAGTGCTGGCCCAGCGCTGCTGACTTCGACTGAGAAAATTGTTGGGCGGTGGAAGGAATACTTTGAGGACCTCCTTATTCCCACTGACACGTCTTCCGAGGAGGAAGCAGAGTGTGGGGATGAGGGGGATGACCCACCAATTTCCGGGGGCGAGGTCACTGAGGCAGTTAAACAGCTCCTTGGTGGCAGAGCCCCCTGGTGTGGATGAGGTCCGCCCCGTCCTGGTCGCGGAACACTGGACCAGCTCTTTATCCTCTCGAGGATACTTGAGGGTGCATGGGAGTTTGCCCAACCAGTCTACATGTGTTTTGTGGACTTGGAGAAGGCATTCGACCGTGTCAATCGGGGTGTCCTGTGGGAGGTGCTGCGGGAGTATGGGGTGTCTGGCCAATTGCTACGGGCCATTCGATCCCTATACAACTGTTGCAAGAGCTTGGTTCGCATTGCCGGCAATAAGTCGGACTCGTTCCTGGTGGGTGATGGGCTCCGCCAGGGCTGCCCTTTGTCACCGATTCTGTTCATAATTTTTATGGACAGGATTTCTAGGCGCAGCCAAGTGGCGGAGGGCTTTCACTTTGGTGGCCTCAGAATCTTGTCTCTGCTTTTCACGGATGATGTGGTTCTGTTGGCTTCATCGGGTGAGGGCCTCCAGTTTGCACTGGAACGGTTCGCAGCTGAGTGTGCCGCAGTGATGCAGACGCTGCACCAGTCCGTCGTGGTGAAGAGAGAGCTGAGTGTAAAAGTGAAACTCTCAATTTACCGGTCGATCTACGTCCCTACCCTCACCTATGGCCACGAGCTGTGGGTAGTGACCGAAAGAACGAGATCGCGGATACAAGCAGCCGAAATGAGCTTCCTCCTAAGGGTGGCTGGCCTCTCCCTTAGAGATAGGGTGAGAAGTTCAGCCATATGGGAGGGGCTCAGAGTAGAGCCGCTGCTCTTCCACATTTAGTTAACAAAAAATATGGTCAGTCTAAGCAATGAGCTACTTAAACTTTTTTTCTGTAAGTTTACAGTTTTCTTTCTTACAATTTGCTGACAGATTTCTTTCTTTGTCACAGCTTTTTCTTTATCATGTAGAAAAACAGTTAAATATGTAACTTCTTTACACTGACAGAAAGGGGAGTTTCACTGGTTCGGCCCACTTATGTCAAAGTGGGCTGTATGCAGCCCGCGATGTAAAATGAGTTTGATACCCCTGCTATAGGGTCTTTACTTTACAGGATAAATCACCTGAAAGCAACTGCTGTTGTGATTTTACACTATCCGACAAATTTATTAAAAAGCTTTTGCTCCCGAAGATTGCCACATGCTAAAAAAAAATAAATCACCAATTCCTGAGGTGTTTCGCTCAGCATGCTGTTAATGCGGCATCATGTCCATCCAGTCTGTGCTGAGAATCAGCAGCTGTCAGTACATTCTCTCCTATCTTGACAGACTGATGTAGACTTAATTGCAGCTCTGTGCACATAGTTTCAGCTAAACAACAAAACAAGAAACTTAAAGGCAAAAACCTGCTAGAGGGTAAAGGAGTGTTTAGCACCTTATCTAAACTCAGTGGTTTCATACTGTATGTTTAACTTAACAATAGTTTAACAATGGTTGAACCACAATGTTAAAGCCGTTTATACACAGGCTTGTCAAAGAGGCAAAATGATATTTGCACTGTCTCAGTCTGGCTTTATGACAACTTCATTCCTTGTGCAAATGTGTCTGTATAAATGATTATTTATCAATAAGAGAACAGAAGCAGCTCTTGGCCTCACTTTTAACCACAGTGATGATGATGTGACAGACTGCTGGGATTCTGAGGACAGGGCAGGCTCTGGTGACATCACCAGGGATGATGCCATCATGTGCATGAGTAATAGCACAGCAATGATTTTTAAGTTTCACCACCACTCTGACCTCAATTTCTACTTGTCTGAGAAGCCAACTGAACCAAGTGGGGGATTTATATTTCCACTCATTGGTGGAAGGGTGAGGTTTATTCAGATTTGTGTGAATGCGAATGTGCATCCATCCACATTACATGCAGACAGAAATGGTGCATGTCCACACTTCATAAGGGATGTGTGTCACAGTCACTGGGCTTGAAATCAAGCAGAGTGAAGATTGTTTATGGACTGCCAAAAGTAATTAATCTCCCTTCTCAATGAAAATTAATCGGATTAAACCTTCTCGTGGCCCAGTGAATCTGTATCTGTCTCACTTTGCTCTCATTATGCCAGTCCTATAGGTCCGATTCACTGGCTTCATCACAACAATGGGCAGCTCAGTGACTCCAGTGTGTAATCATATTCTCCTGCTTGTCTGAATGCTTGTCTTTCACGGTCAGAGAAGGAGTTTTGGCCCTTTGACCAGTATCACATTCTGACCTTTGGTAGGCATGCTGAAGCAGTCAGAGAGATTTGTTGATTTCAGCGTCATCTGTGTGACTCTGGCCGCTGGTGAAACACATGTTCGCATGATTCTTTGACCTTTTCTGTAGCATTCAGAGAAGTATTCTCTGCCCACTACTCTTTTACTTTTCTAAGTGGGCTATGGGTTAACATCCTAACGACACTGAAATACTTATGTTTTTAGTCCTTGCATGTTAGAAGGATTAAGCTGCTCCAGTTCCTTTAAAATGTACTACCTACATATAACCAACAGTGCTCTTTCAAGTAAAGGAATTTGATGATAAGGTAAGAAAGATCATATTCACAAATTAGCTGTAATTGTCACTACAAGAGTCCAGCATTTCTGCCATAGTATGAAACAAGACAATTCATGAAATAAAATGTTCATTCCAGTGGCAACACACACATTTGAGTATAAAGCCACTGGTAGCAGGTACACAATTTTATAAACGGCTCAAATACATCATCCAATGATTTTTTGCTATTATAAATCAATCCACATTGGCTATTAAAAAAAACTCTGTACATCAATGGAGCATGTTGCCATGTCTCTGCTGTAAAGATTGATAGGCTTGCCATCTTATGACCTTATTTCAAGCTGTAGGAACAATGTAAAGGCAGATATACGGCAGAATAGAGCATTTTATAGGAATCTAAGCAATGGATGAAGTGTATAAGTCTATAACATCACAGAGTTGAGTTGTACACAGGCAATGAGAAAGACATTTCCACTAAAGGTCTAGAGTTAGCCACTCCAAATTGCTGCGAGCCATATGGAAGGGAGAGGGGGCCACAACTGTGGAATAAGCAAACATGAAGTAGCAATGTGATACAACGTCCTGACATGCTATAGTTACCCAAAATTCATGTTAAAGACTAAATATTAATTAGGAACATGAATAACATGAAGCAATGTTAAGATACTATCATTTGGTGATGTGATTTCCATTTGACCTGAATAAATAAAGTCCTTGTGTTCTTGTGTTTTCTTTGCCTTCAAATGGTTTCTTTACAGAAAGTGAGTCATTGCTCTATTTACAGTTGTACTCACTATAAATTTCTACCTTTAACATAAGCAGGAGTCTTTCCTTGCAGTTCTGTTGCTTGAATCAGTGCAGTCTAGACCTGCCTTGAGTCGCAAAGTACTATTCTATGAGAGTTTCGCTGGTAACAGTTTAAGCAGCCCTACTTCAGCTATCTCTACAACACAGACATAGGCACGTTGGATATACTAAGCTGTTGTTTCTTCAAATTTCAATCAGTTGTAGAATGTTTTCATACTGGGATAGATATGAGCATTACTTTGACACGCAAAACCTTATTTTTAATCCATCGACTACATTGGTATTGTACAATTATGGATGCTACTGCTAACTGCGGATGCTGTAAGTATGTTGTATGTGCCCTTATGTTTTTTTGCATTCTTTATAGTAAGAACTATCCCATATTCAGCAACAGTCACATCGCTGGTTCTCGACAGAGATCAGAAAATAACTCTAGTAGGAATTTTTCTCTTATGATTCCATCTGTACATGGTTTACATCTACAAATACATCATACAAACCATGTGTACTTTGTCACCTACTGTCAGTTCTCGGAGTGCATTTCATTTTACACTAGAAGAAGACCAAAGTGGAAATAAATTACGTTCTTTTGTTTGATTCAGGTTATTGTTTCCTCCCCAGTTGCGTGCAGCTGACACTTCAGCAACCATCAGGCAGGATGTCATATGGTTCCATTGACAGCGGCTCCTTTGGCAGTCGTAACCCATTTGGAGGTCCTATGAGGCAGGGCTACCAGCCAGTAGGTAAGAACAGAAAAATGCTATTTTTACGATGCCATTTAAGATATTCTACATGTACATGTTCATAACAATATGGCGATGGTTTAATTTGTCGTAAACCTAAAGTTTAATGCTTTATGTTATTAGACAGGAAGGGTCTTGACAATTATTGAAAGAAGTAATAAATAAATAAATAAATACTGAGTGGTGCCATTGCTTTTTTGTAAATCATCAGGTTACAATTTTTATCATTTTAATTAATTTGAATACATGTCCAGGATACCGCTGCAGGTATTTTAGCATGTAGGTGGCATTTACCAAAAAGCCCTGCTTGAACAGCAGGGCTTTTTGAAGAATTGTTACTGAGTGTAACAATTCTTCAAATCTATAGTTGAGTTCAATACCTTGTTCTTGGGCCAAAGTTTCAGTTTACAGATCAGTGATTCCTGAGATTAGGGACAAAACAGGTTTTAATTTTCTAAAATATATTTTTGGATTTTTCAAAAACATATTTACATATAATTGTTACACAAAGTTTTGGCTGTCTCACCATGTTTTGGTACAATCTCCCAGGTGTAACATTTTTTAATAATTTGTGTTTTTCCTGGAGAAGTGCAAGGTTTTTGTCAACACCGTCAGACACAAAGAAATGCAAAAATATATA